CACTTCGTCCCTGCCTGACAGGTACATACTTCTCAAGGACACGCAGTAGCTGTTCCTTGAACAAGCTCCACATTTCAATTGTGCCCAGCCCCTGCAGTTTCCTTCTCCATCCTAAGGATCCTAAATCTTGCCTAATTGCCTCATAATTGCCTTTCCCCCAGCTATAACTCTTGCCCTGCGATATATACCTATCCCTTTCCATCGCTAAAGTAAACGTAACCGAATTGTGGTCACTATCACCAAAGTGCTCTCCTACCTCCAAATCTAACACCTGGCCTGGTTCATTACCCAGTACCAAATCCAATGTGGCCTCGCATCTTGTTGGCCTATCTACATACTGTGTCAGGAAACCCTCCTGCACACATTAGACAAAAACTGACCCATCTAAAGTACTCGAACTATAGCGTTTCCAGTCAATATTTGGAAAGTTAAAGTCCCCCATAACATATGGATGATAATGGAATAGTGTAGATTGGCTTCAGATTGGTTTCACAGGTCAACGTAACATCGAGGGCCGAAGGGCCTGTACTGCGCTGTAATGTTCTGTGTTCTATGTTCTAAATTTAAACAACATTTCCTGGAACATTGGTCTTTTTGCAAAGGTGTGAAAAGGAATAAAAAAGGTTATCTTGAGGGGATTACAACATAAAGAATGGGAGAGAACGTGATGTTTTGGGTATCTATTTAGAAGTTCTGAAGTGGAATATTGGCCTTAGAGGGCATTAGTATAAATTCACCAGAATATCATAGCCTGAAAAGGTTTAAAATAAAGGATTGGTTCCACAAATTTGCATTGTTTTCTCTAGTTTAGATGATTGTGGGTGATCCAACAATAACTATTTAAAGTGGACTGTTTCCTTGAACGTGGAGGGCAGCATCTTAAAATTGGAGATTAGCAAAGATTTGGCAAACGGAATGGAATACAAATTTGGGAAAGTATGAATTTTTCTGTTTTGGCAGAGGAATAAAAAAGCATATTATCTAAATGGTGAGATGATTCAGAGAGATCTGTGTGTCATGATGAATTGCAGAAGATTCGTTTGCAGGTATAGAAAGTATTCGGAAAAGCTAAGAGAAAGGTTATGTTTTATTGTAAGAGAAATTGAATGCAAGGGTAGGGAGGCCAGACTTCATTTTATACAGGGCATTGGTGAGACCTATCTGGAATACTGTGTAATGGATTGTACAGTAATGGTCGCCATACTTACAGAAAGATGCTACTACATTGGAAGCAATTCAGAAAAGGTTTTACTAGACTAAACTTCTGAAGAAAGGTCACTGGACTTGAAATGTTAGTCTGCTTCATCTCCGCAGATACTTCCAGACTTGCTGAGTTTCTCTAGCAATTTCTGTTATTGTTTCAGATCTTTTCTTCAAAAAATTAAGAGCCTAATACCTGAAATGAGCAGATTGCCTTCTGAGAAAAGGTTAGACAGGCTGTATCCTCTGGAGTTTAGAAGATTAAGAGAGTTGACTTAATTGAAACACAGAAATTCCTGGGGGGACTTGCCTAAATAGATGTTAAAAGGAGGTTTTCTCTTGTCAGACAATCTAGAACTGGGGATCATAGTTTAAAAATAAGGGATCACCCACTTAAGATTGACGAGGAAACATTCTGTGTCTTTGGAATTCCCTTCCTCAAAAAGATTCAGAATGCAGAATCTTTAGATATTTATAAAAGGCAGAAGCTGACAAGCATTGTTTACCAAGGGGATGAAAAATCATCAGGTTTATGCAAGAATAGAGTTGACAATACAATCAGATCAATCATGACTTTATTGAATGACTGAACAGGCTGAGGACTGAGTGGCCGACTCTTGTTCCTTGTTCGTATGTTGTACACGTAGGAACAGAAGTAGGCCTTTCAGCCACTCAAGCCTGTTCTACCATTCAATTAGATCATGGCTGATCATAGAATCTCTCCAGTGTGGAAACAGGCTATTCGGCCCAAGTCCACACTGACTCTCCAAAGAGCATCCCACCCTACTCCTGCAACCCCGCATTTCCCATGGCTAATTCACTTAGCCTACATATCCCTGGACACTGTGGGCAATTTAGCATGGCCAATCCACCTAACCTGCGCATCTTTGGACTATGGGAGGAAACAGGAATACCTGGAGGAAACCCACAGAGACACAGGGAGAACGTGCAAACTCCACAGACAGTCACCCAAGGCTGGAATTGAACCTGGAGCTGTGAGGCAACGGTGCTAACCACTGAGCCACCATGCTGCCCTCTGAGGCCTTACTCCATATACCTGCCTTTGGCCCACAACCTTCAATACTTTTGATAAAATGTTAAAAATACACTCAAGTTGGTGATTTGTAATTTCAACAGATTATGACTGACCAGTTTTCAGTTCTTTCTGTAAGTATTGCCTGTTTGGTTAGAAGTCACAGCAGAGGGCCTATGGCACTGTAACCCAATATACATAGAGTCACCACTTTCAGGATAGAAAATGAGAGTTAATTTTCCTTTTAAAAATTTAACAAGTTTAACTTCTTCCTCTGCACCTCAGCATTCTGTAAGATCTGTAAACACAAAAAAACTTTGTCTCAGCCTAAATTAAGTGAACACAAGGAACACAAAGCTGACAATTTTTAGATGAAGTTTGAATTTACTTACATCTTGGCTGTGGGGCTCGGAGGTTTGTTGCAGTTTTCACAGCACTTGGACAATAGGATTTTCTCTTGTACTCATTACGCTCATTTAAATTTAATGTCCTTGGTCCCCTTCCCCCTCCCATTCAACAAAGAGTTGGCTGGCAAAGGCTGAAACATTGCATTGTGTCACTGAAATTTCCCTCATCAATCAAGAATCACCTAATTTCAAAGGCAACCACATAGACACATGCAGAAATTTCTATCTTTTCCTGAAAAACAAGTTTGCCACTGATTCTAGCATTCTTTGCATTTACTGAGGAGATGAAGCGTAAAGCTGTGCTGATCTCAATCAGCCAAACTCTTCGCAATACAGCTCTTAGCTTCTCAAACAGAGCGAAAAAAAAATAATGAAATGACCCAGTCACCTTTGGAAAAAAATCACAGGATATAAAAAGTCAAAATAATTGTAAAAGTAGGGGTGGGAAGAGAAGGAAAAGAGGAAAAAGGGATCTACTTGGGTCAAATGCAAAACTAAAAGCAAAAGTACTGCAGATGCTGGGAGATCTGAAATAAAAACAAAATGCTGAAGCAACTCAGCATTTGTAGTGAAAAATGTTTAATATTTTGGACTAGAGTATGACCATGAACTCTGTCCTCCATTTTAATTACACCGCTCCCAGTTACTTGTCTGTATGGATCTGCTCTTAGCAAAGCTGACCTATTTTCTACCATTAGTGCCTTTTAAAAAAAATGAAATCTCTCCTGTACTACCATTCGAACACAGAACAGTATAGCACAGTACAGGTCCTTCGGTCCACAATGTTGTGCCGACCTATTATCCTACTAAGATCGAACTACCCTATCCTTCATGTGCCTATCCAAGAGTCGCTTAAAAGTTTCTAAAGTATCTGACTCCACTACCATTGCCGGCAGCGCATTCCACACACCCACCACTCTCTGTGTAAAGAGCCCACCTCTGACATCTCCCCTACACCATCCTCCAATCACCTTAAAATTATGCCCCCTCGTAATAGTCATTTCTGCCCTGGGAAAAAAGTCTCTGGCTATCCAATCTATCTATGCCTCTCATCATCTTGTATACCTCTATCAAGTCACCTCTCATCCATCTTCACGCCAATGAAAAAAGCCCTAGCTCCTTCAATCTTTCCTCATAAGACCTGCCCTCCAGTCCAGGCAGCATCCTGGTAAATCTCCTCTGCACCCTCTGTAAAGCTTCCACATCCTTCCTATAATGAGGTGACCAGAACTGAACACAATATTCTAAGTGTGGTCTAACCAGGGTTTTATAGAGCTGCAGCATAACCTCGCAGCTCAAACTCAATTCCCCTGCCAATGAAAGCAATTAGCATCCCCTTTGCATTTTGCTCTGAAAAACCCTTATTCCGGTTCCATTTGTTCCTAACACCATGATCCCCACCACCTCCACAGTGTTTTAGATCTCCACCAGTTCAGGAGCTCTGTTCTCTGCAGTAAGAATGATGTAGTTAACCATGAGTAAAGAAACAAATTTAGGGAGGGAATTACATAGACAATGGAAGGATGTTCAAAAAGGACAGATTGGGGGAGTATATGTATCTTAGAGGGGTCTGAGGCTTCAGAGAGTTCAAGGAGGGTTAACTTTCCATAGTCACAGTAACAGTGAATGTCATGTCACTTTGATGAGGTCTGTGTTGGGGCAGAAACCAAATTGGATGGATTCAGACAAAGTTAGGATTGGCATAGGTAATGATGACAACATATTCAAAGACTACAGACAGGTAAAGGCAGTTTGCAAGGTCTGGGTTGGTTTTGCAATTGAGATACTTATGTTACTTGAAGGGAGCAATACAGTACTAGAGGGCACAAAGCCATTAACAATATTAGCTAACATGGGAGCCAGAAAGGAGAGTTCAGTGATCAGCAGTGCAGTGGAAATATGGTAAAAAACAAAAGGTAAATCTCTGACAACTAAAAAAACCGAAAGAACTGCAGATATTGTAAATCAGAAACAAAAACAAAGTTGCTGGAAAAGCCCAGCGGGTCTGGCAGCATCTGTGAAGTTAAAAACAGAGTTAACGTTTCAAGTCCGGTGACCCTTCCTCAGAACTTCCTCAGTGTTCTGAGGAAGGGTCACTGGACCTGAAACGTTAACTCTGTTTTTTCCTTCACAGATGCTGCCAGCCCTACTGAGCTTTTCTAGCAACTTTGTTTTTGTTCCTAATCTCTGATAACTGTTTGAAGCAACTTGGAGGGGGAAGTCTGTATACATATCTGCACCATTGTTAGGACTGCTTATTTCTACCATAATAACATCACCTTTTTCCATCTCTGCTCATTCACTGCTGAAACCCTTATTAGATGTCATTGTTATCTCTAGTACTGATTAAAGTACTCCTGGTCAGACTCCTACTCTCTCCCCTCTGAGCTTGAGATTCTGCAAAGTTTAGCTGCTCATGTATCAACTTAAACTAAGTCCCATGCACCATCAACCTATATTAGTTGATGCAAATCTTGATTTTAAAGAGTCTCATATGTACTCAAATCCCTCCATTGGTCTTCTCCCAGTCTCTAACCTTGTTCACGCCTGAAACTATCTAAAATACCCATTCTCCTGAATCAATCCTTTGAGCACCCTTCCATTGTCTAGGCAAAAGCTGCAGAATTCCCTCCCTAAGTCTGTCTCTAACTGTATCTCCTATTTTAAGATTCTTCTTAAAACCTGTATCTTGGTTTTAGTTTTATTTAGCCCTTATATCTCTTACTTGCCTCAATGTCCAAATATTGTTTAGTAATGCTCCTGTTTAAAAATGACCTTAGGACATTATGGTGCAACATAAATACAAGTCATTGTTGTCTCAAGGACAAGTTTATTTTTAAACTCATTCATGGGATGTGGGCATCACTGACTAGATCAGCACTTTACGTCTAATCTAATTGCCTAGAAGGTTGTTATGAGTCAACACCATTGCTGTGGGTTTGGAGTCACATTTAGGCTAGACCAGGTAAGGACAACAATTTCCTTCCCTCAAGGACATTAGTGAACCAGATGGGGTTTTTCCTGATCAACAATAGTTTCATGTTCATCATTAGATGCTTAAATCTTGAATTTTGTTTAAATTTTAATTCAAATCCCATCATCTGCCATTATGGGATTCAAACCCAGGACATTGTCTGCATTTCTGGACTAATAGTGTAGCAATAATACCCCTAGGCCACTACCTCCCCACCGAAGGTGAACTTGGGGAGGTCATTTAGGGCAGATGAGAAAGAAACTGGATAAAGGATGGAAGTTCAATGCTAACAACAGGAAGGAACTTTAAGTAAAAAGAGAAACACAAAATACCCAGGGACAAATTACATACCTTTAACCCGAATTTTCCCTTCTCCAAAAGGCACATTGTCAGGTAACCCCTTGTACCTAACAGTAGCTAAAGTACAAGTCAAAACAGTGAGTATTAGTAGACTGAAAACAAAAAAAATGCTGGAGAACACAGTGGGCCGGGCAGCATCCATAACAGAGTAAGCTAATGTTTTGAGGCTATTAGTCGGGCATCGCAGCAGTTTCCACCAGTTGCAGAAACCAATTCTAGCAACATCCCCTCAATTAATTTCCTCAAATTGCACCCACTATCATTCTACCGTGGTGTTACATAGCTCAGAACATGTTTCAAACCTCCATAAATTTGAACAAAGCCACCTTGTAATGCAAAGTGAGATGGTAAAGGAGTAGAGAAAAAAAAACAAGGACTGAAGAGGCAGTTTCTGAATAAATCAGAGGAGTGAAAGGCAATTTGTAAATGGAGCTATGTCAGCATACTCCAAGGTGCCCACCAAGTCCAGGAACCCACATGGAAAAATAAGCTTCTCTGTAGGTATTTAATCAAGTGATTGGAAAATCTGCCTGTACTGCATGCAAAGCAAAAAAACTTTTCACTGTACCGTGTTATATGTGACAATAAAAAAAATCAAAATTAGCTGAGAGATAGTAGGAACTGCAGATGCTGGAGAATCTGAGATAACAAGGTTTAGAGCTGGATGAACACAGCAGGCCAAGCAGCATCATGGGAGCAGGAAGGCTGACGTTTCGGGCCTAGACCCTTCTTCAGAAAATGAAAACGTCAGCCTTCCTGCTCGGCCAGCTGTGTTCATCCAGCTCTACACCTTGTTATCTCAAAAGTAGCTGAGTTAGCTAATACTAAGCCCATGAAAAGGAAAGGAAGAGGTATAGCAGATTAAAAACAGTATAGGTTTAGGAAGAGACAGAGTAAAAAATAAATACAAATCTGATGTGACCAAAATAATCAACAGACATTTAAGATAAATATTACAGGATGCAGAAACAATAGATTTGCATTTACAAGTACACTTCAAAATCTCAAGAGATTCTAAAGAACTTTATAACTAATTAATTAGTTTTGAAGTGTTGTCACTTGTAATGTAGCCGACAATAAAAACACCCACAAGTGAGTGATATAACAATTCAACCAGGTGGAGTTAGATAGAATCCCTACAGTGTGGAAACAGACCATTTGGCCCAACAAGTCTACACTGCCTCTCCGAAGAGCAACCCAACCAGACCACCCCCTACCTTTTCCCTGTAACCCTGCATTTCCCATGGTTAATCCACCTAACTTACACACCCCTGGACATTAGGGGCAATTTCGCATGACCAATCTACCTAACCAGCACATCTTTGGACCGTGGGAGGAAACCACCCGGAGGAACCCCGTGTAGATACTGGGACAATGTGCAAACTCTACACAGACAATCAACTGAGAGTGGAATTGAGCCTGGGTCCCTGGTGCTGTGAGGCAGCAGTGCTAACCTCTGAGCTACCGTTCCATTTGAATAATAATCTGTAGCACCAGCTGGTTGTGATATAATTAGCCAGGATACAAGAAAGAACCCACTCCTCTCTTTTCCTTAGGTTATTTTATCAAGAAAGCAGAAGGAAACTCAAGGTCTTCCACTGTCCTCCTCTGACAAGCACAGCAGCAGAATCTACCCTCAGGACTGCCTTTCCACCACTCTGCAAGTGGAGAACGTTTGAACGTTTGGAGAACCCCCCCCCCCTCCCCACCGTAGCACAGGATGCTGTTAAGACAGCTCCCAACACCAGTGCATGTCCTCCTTGACCCATTTCCTGAACAGTTTTCCTTGGTGGTGCCTTCCATTCTCAGGGTCAGGACAAGGAGGCAAGGCCCAAGATCACTGCAGTTGAACAGGAATTGAATCTGCACTTTCAGCACGATTTTGAACCACACAATAGCCATCTCGCTGCTGAGCTAAATGGTCTCCAATTGTTACTGCAGTATCAATATCCAAGATTCTGAGCTATGAGATTATACTGCGTATAGATAATGCAAAATGCTAGAATAGTTTCGGCATAAAGTCTAAGAGGTAGCTATGGATAGACGAAACATATTTAATGATTTTAAATTGGAAGTGGGTGGTGAGGAAGCGGAACTGTTTATCCATGCTGTCAGCCTGATCAAACTGACAACTTCACACAGCAACAATATAGATATTTGGCAGCTGAAGAGTTAGTAATATTGTATGATATTTGAACAATTCTGGGCAGGTCAGAAAGTCTACAATAGTCTCTTTCCTATTCATGTTCCACATTACTGCATCAAAACTAACCTAACACAATGCCACAAAACTAGTCTAGTTTCACCAAGGATCCAGTGATAAACACATTAGATTCAAAAGACATCTCAGTACTTCATCTACTTGAACCTGGGTTCTCCCTTCCTGATCTCAGCGACTGCAGACAACCCTGTGATTCAGATGCCCCAAGTGATGACATGTGACATCATGGTGGCCAGTGTCCTCATCACTGCCTCTCAAGGTCATGGAGTGAAATTAGCAACAAACTGTCTGGGGTGCTTGGAACTTGCATCCCATATACAACAGCAAAGCATAGCGAAAGACAATGTAATTATTCAATGCATATTAGATTTGTGTACAGGACTTCTCCACATCCAGTACAGAAAGAAATATTAACAAGCTCAAATTTAGGCTCCTTCATCCAAGTACCTTTGACGAAATGTCCATAACTCATGCAACACATCCTCAATCCAGTCACATTTCTCAGGCAGACCACGTACAGCTTGGGATATTGACTTGTCTGGGGCAGTAAACAGGCACCCTGTAATTGGCAGGGAGGTTACACAATTTACTCAAGTCAGTTTGGTAAATACCTGGCCCTGAATTATACGTGCCTGGGAAGTGTTTGTGGCGACTGTGTAGATGGAGCTTTGCGCTAAGGCGCGGAGAGAGGCCATTCGGCACATCTTGCCTGCACTGGCCCTTTAAACGGAGCTTGAATTCTGTACTGAACATCTTTCTCAAAATTCGGGTAGCCAGTTTGTTCCACTAGAGGAAAGGAACCTGCGCTGATCAATGATGTGTGTTTGGAGATAGCAAGAACTGCAGATGCCGGAGTCAGAGTCAATACAGTGTGGAGCTGGAGGAACGCAGCAGGTCACGCAGCATCAGAGGAGCTGAAACGTCGACTTTGCTGCTCCTCTGATGCTGCCTGACCTGCTGTCTTTCTCCAGCTCCACAATGATGTGTGTTAATTGTGCATCAAGCGCTTTGCTCGTTTTTAATAACTATGTTGGGGTAAGGTCGGCAGGTACAGAGAGAGCTTTCATTGCGGGGACTGTTTTCGGTAGACTGAGTCTGTCGCTGGTTTCAGTGGCCGCCTGTTTCATCTTTAATGTTTAAGGTCAAGGTTTATAAACACACAAAATAAATGAACCATTACATTAAATTGAAGCACTAAAAACCCACGGCCACCAAATTAAATCATTTTAGTCATCCCCTTACTGTAATAAGAGTAATTTGAACAATTTAAAATTTGATTGAAGCAGCGGGGTCCACTACCAGGAATTAATTCTACATCAACTCTAGTGACAAACCCCTAACCCTGTCTCTTCCCTCGCCGCCCCTTCAATCTGCTTCTCACCAAAACGATTCCGTCTTCTTTCAGTCTCTCACTCCAACTCCGATCCTGCTCCGCGTCCCCGGCCAGATTAGCCCTGAATGCGGTTTTCCACGCTCCGCCCCTGGCTTAATAAAGCGATTGTGATGCCGCAGAGAGACGTGACTGGCCCAAACTCCGCCCAGAGCCGCGGGAGGGAAGATAGACAAGGGGACACACCCACCACCCAATGCACAGACCGTCTAATACAAGAGACCTTTCTCTCAAGCTGTTCACTCTCGAGGATGAAAAGGCCTTGTGGTTTTATCGCTGGAGTAGTAATCCAGAAACCCAGGTAATGGTCTGGGGAGATAGTAGGAACTGCAGATGCTGGAGTATCTGAGATAACAAGGTGTAGAGCTGGATGAACACAGCAGGCCAAGCAGCA